TAACATCCACCAGCTCCGTGATGTCGTCATGGAGGAGTGGAAGAGTGGCAACCTGTGAAGCTCTGGTGAACTCCATGCCCAAGAGGATTTATGGCAGTGCTGGAAAATAATGGTGGCCACACAAAATATTGACACTTTGGGCCCAATTTGGACATTTTCACTTAGGGGTGTACTCACTTTTGTGGCCAGCGGTTTAGAAAATAATGGCTGCGTGTTGAGTTATTTTGAGGGGACAGCAAATTTACACTGTTATACAAGCTGTACACTCACTACTTTACATTGTAGCAAAGTGTCATTTCTTCAGTGTTGTCACATGAAAAGATCATATATATATATATATATATATATATATATATATCTCCAAAAGATTTGGAAGGCCAAATGAGGCCAACTTCCCACTCCAAACATCCCAAGCACTATGGTATTAATCACATCTCTGGGGAGCTCTGCCATAAAACTGCAATTCAACCGATTTGATGTCTCCAACAATATATTTCATGACCCATATGGGCGTCTTTTATGTGGCGAATGACAATATAAAAGTGATTAACAAGTAGTTATTTGAGAGTAAAAACTGAAGCGGGAGAGCAGTCATTAGTAATCTCATCTATCTGCCCATGAACATTTACGACCAACCATGTCAAAAGACCTGATGAACGGACGATCCATGCATTTTTTGAGATTTCTGACATTAATCTCTTCTTCTGTAATGTTAAAAATGATAAGTATGTTTTTTTTAGTCATTACAGTATCTGCAGTTGATTTTTGGACAAGACCACAAAAGACATGTCAAGGTTCAGACCACAATGACCACTCAAAAAAAGGAGGGAATATATTATTGACAAGGATTTTTAACAGCAGAGGCCCTGAGTGAAACTGCGGACAGCAGACCAGGAAACTTCACCCAGCCCAACCATAAAAAGTGGGCCAGCAAGCCCGGCAATTACTGCCCCGATTACCCAGTGAGCCACTGCTGCACGGTAAGCAGACGAGAAGAGAAAAGCAATTTCAGTGCGAGAGGAACTGAGGCCTGCTAGAAGGGAAAGAAAGAAAAAAAAGACAGAAAAAAGTTGGAGAGAGGATTTGAAGTTCCACACCAGCTGGCGCTTTAGGAGGACACAGGCTGTATTGTCCGGCTGCCGGGTTCCAGCCAAGCGTGCTTTGCTTTCCAAGCCCTGCACTCATCCCACATGGCCAGTGATGTCAGTAAAGCAGCTATGAAAAAAAAAAAGCCAAGGGGAACAGGCCAGCACAGGGGGCTTCTAATACGACAATACGTCACCTGCTACGGAATAAAGACACCGATCAGTAAGGATGTTCACATGACAGATGGAAAAAAAAGTGAGCTAGGTTGCTCTATTTCTTATTCATATTTCCATCCGAGTGCACATATGATTTAGATGGCGTATAGTACATGGCTCATTGGGGGAGCAGCTGTCTTCCAATGTTACAGGTGTGAAGAACATCTTTAGATCCAAAGAAAATGACAATCCCAGAAGTCCCTAGCGGGTGGTGCACATTACAGTTTCCACACAGTTTGAGCAACGCTGTTGGGCAATGATGCCATCAACGGGCAACCAGGTGAGACACAGGGCCCATGACTGATCTAAAGTATTCAGATAGAAATTTGTTGCCCATTCTCAATGGGAAACTGCCCAAACAGAAGTTGTGGTTGAAATTGTTGGTTAGCTAACGGATGGGTATGAGCATTGGTGGCCGGATTGGATATCCCATATTTCTTGCTGGGCTAAGGTTGGCTACTGTCTCCTCAGAGTGCCAAGCATTCCCTTGGCTGGCCCTGCTTGTCAAACGGGTTGAAATTCTTCAGCGTGGTGTCAGGCGGACAGTAAATCTGCTGTTTCGCAGGAATCAATGGCAGGCCAAGTCATCTGTTTTGCTCCTGCGCTCTGCCTCACCTTCAATCTAGCTGAACAGAATACCAGGAACTCCAGAACGTCTGCCTTTTGCTTTCTTTTCTCTTTTAATTCGTCTTTTGGTTGTTCTCACTGTAGTTGCCTAGAGAAGAGAACACAGGCTACCACTTCCATGGCACGGACAAGCATGTTGTACAATTACATAAATTCTTTGAAACCACACTTTAAAAATAAAGATTATTAATTGGCATCTATGGTTCCATGAAGAACATTTAACATCCATGGAATCTTTCCATTGCACAAAGATTCTTGATAGTGGATAAAGGTCCTTTAGTTCATTAAAAGTTCACATTAAGGAAAAAAAATAGTTCTTAAGAACTGTTCATTGACTAACCATTACGCCACACCTGTCCAAATGTTGCCATTCTAGTTTCGAAAAATATCATGACATTCAGAAGTAAAATAAATGGATGGCAGAATGTTACCCACTTTGTTTGCTTTGACAGTTATTCGCCGCTTTCTTGCTACTAGCTATGACACTAATATTGGCAAGTGCGTTGACAAGTCTTATCGCAAGACAAGTGAAAGAGTTGGGAAACACAAGGAGGAGGAACAATGCATGAGCTGTTTTTTTATTTTAAAACTTATAGCTGTGGGCAGCTGTTTGGCATAAGAACCATAAGAACACCATTGCGAAATGACAACATGATGTTAGAACAATTGTTCACGGCTGAAAAGTGCAATGCATATCCTTCTTTAACATATTAACATTAAGGATGGTGTCCTATAGTCGATTTGGTAGCTTATTTTCCTGTGACAGTAATAAAATAGCCCTTGGTCAGTTTCTGCAGCTTCAGGCCACAGAATAAATAAACAACAATAAATAAATAAATAAATAATAACACTCTGGGATGATTTATGACCCTCCTTTAAAACATTCACTGGATGAGACTAAATGCTGTATTGATGTACAGGTTAGGCGCTTTGAACCATCAAAATTATTCAAAAATGCATTCTCTCAGATCTCTTCTCTTTGGACAGCATGAATTATTGGAGCCATCCATTCACTACCGATGTTTCAAACAAATTTGTTTTGCACACCGAAGGTTTACATCCCACCTGCAAAAGGCCTTTCATGTAAATGTATATGATTCCGTGAAAAATGGCATCTGTAAACGCAAGAACCTTCGGAGAACATGTTGTAGTGCAAATTCTTCTTGTTCTTCATGCTATAATTTCACTCTACAAGTTTATTATTTTGTGAAGGGAGACAATTCTGGGGTAGGGCCGACATCCTACCCAAACAGAAAGTTACGCTAAGCCACGTTCCCTTTGGGCAGCTTACATCTACCCTAAACCCTTCGCGGGAGAGCTGCTCAATCATATTTCAGTTGAGCCTGGCTGCACTGTGACTTCATACACACACTTCAATTGTTAGCGAAAACTCATAGTGATGACTTTTAAATGGCCATGAGAGTACAATCCCACTTAAAACAAAACCACCACAGCCCGACCCTTCAGATCAGTTGTTTGGCTTCAAGAAGACCTTCATTAATCTCCATTACCAGGATGGCTAGTACTACCAAGGGGGTCCTTCTCATGTTGCATGTAGCTCTTCTTACTTCGAGATCTCTTTGTCAGAGCAAAAAAACTGAGGCGTGACTCCAAATGATTTCACCGTCGCCACTTCACGTCACACACGCAGTCAAGGGTGTCATTTAGGGAAGAAAAACTCCCTGGTTTCCAGCTGTCAGTGTGAGCTTGGGCTCCCATCAATGCAGTTACAAGGTATCCTTGCATTAGGGGTAATACTAGTGGTTGAGACGAGAAGAAGAGAAGGAGGGCGGTAAGAAAGAGGGGGAGATTGAAGGTTCTGGAAGGCTTCGAGCGTGTCTGCAGGTCTCGAGGTTGCCTACACGGCCTTATCAGCTCAGGCCTCTTACTGGAGAGAGCGGCAAAATCAATTTCCCCCTTGCAGACTGGAGAGGCCCTGGCCCGTCTGCCGCGGGAAACAGAAAAGAAGTCAAGAAGAAAGGCTGAGTGATTCCTCCTCTATTAGAAGAGCACAGAAGACCGTACCCATCATTGCATTGTGGGAGTTGCTCACTTTCGTCTTTCTGGCAATTCCTTACAGCTCATACATTTATGGACATTTTAACACTTCTTTCACAACTCTGGAAATGCCTGCACCCCCTCCTCCTCTGAATCAATTCCCACCCATCATGTATCAGGCCCTCGGGTTGAAACGCGTTAGTTTCGGTGTAGATAAGCAAACAGACGGGGCTAGGTGGAGGGGGCTCAGCTGGTGCAGAGCACGAAGACGGTGAGTTCGACCGAGGGGAAGCTACACAGGTCAATATGGCTTCCAATAAACCCCAGGGTGCACCAGCAACTGCTCCAGAAGATCTGCAAAGTAAGCTTTAGTGCTTCAGCCTCTTCACGACAATGATCTATGATCTAAGTTGCAGGACTGCAAATTTCTTGTCTGCTCGCCTTGGTGGGGATGAGATGATCTCAAATTCTGTGCGTCGATGCAGTATTGACGCAATTCATTTGTACTTGTTCATGCTGCAAAAACAAACAAAAATCCCTGCGTAGCTTCATACAATCACATAATAGCAAGAAAAAAATAAATAAAACAAAGGACTTTGAGTCAGCAAAATTGTTTTATCACAGCACAGAGCCTATAGACTCTCTCCCGAGTTTCCTCATCCCTGCTCCATCTTCATTCCTTCATTTATCAGAGAGATGAAGAGAAAGGAATAATTTAAAAGATCACTGCTCAGGTTACCGATTGAGCAGCAAATGTAATTCTGTCCATGTAGCTGCGGCCCCCATCACTAACGGCAGCCTCTGACGAGGAAAGAAGCATAACTTACCATTAAAACATGATTTCTGTTCAGTTTCGCCACGATGCGGTGGCCATTTATTACAGTCCTGATGAAGTTGCGAAAGCATAGGCATGCTTTTCTCCTGCCAATACTGCTTCCCTGCATGAAATCAATTGGAACCCAAGGCTGGATAATATAAAACACGAGGCGTCCCAGAGGACCGGCGGAGTGCAGCTCTGCGGGAGAGGTTCTGCATTCTAAGTGGCCTCATTACATGATCACTTCTGATTCAGGATCAACGTGCAGTTATGTACTAACCCTGATTAGAGGGCTAATGAAGGAAGGAGGAAAGCAGCTTTTCGTACTAAGTGAGCAGAGCAAAGGGTTTGACGGCTGGCACAGGGCCAGATAAACAGCGGCCCTAGTCAGAAAGGTTTCACTGCTTTCTTTTGTTCAGTGTCCAATGACTTGTGACATCAACACACGTTTCCTGTGATCACACATTGGGAAAGTCAAGGGGAACAATTGAGTCTGGTCTCCTTTTTCCCCTACTTAAAGGATAGTTGATAGAAAATCTTAAATGGCATTCTTGCCTTTTTTTTTTTTACAGTAAATATGGATCAATGTTACTGTTTTTGAACAAATTTAAGTTTGACTTGCTATTTTGTATTTTTTTATTATAGTTTTTGCAAGACGACATAATTCCTTAAATGTTTTGATAAAGATCTGAAACGATTAGTCGACATTATCGACAATAAAAAATTGTCGACAAATATTTTTGTTGTCGAGTAGTCGTTTGATCTCATATGACCTAATGTAAGAGCCTGCAATAATGCGGTTTGACTAAAGTTTCTGTCATCTCATTTTGTGTGCCAAATATATTTATTTATATAAATTAATTGTATAATAATTGGAATTACATAATATGATTTTCAAAAGCTGAAATGATTACCTTTATTTGTTAGAATATGTAAAACTCAATATTTTAACTAATTGCAAAAGCTGAATAATCAAAATTTACTGATTTATCAGTGAAATAATCTATGATTAGTCGATCAATCGTTCTAATAATCGTTAGATTAATCGATTATCAAAATAATAGTTTGTTGCAGCCCTAATCTGTTCTAAATTGCAGATGTATAAAACTCCTGGTATTACTTAAACCTGATCTTAACATACATGTTCACAATAATGGAATATTTTTAGAATGTAACAGACCATGAAGACGTCATCATAATACTTGTATAGTTAATTGTGACTGGACCTCTTCCTTTTATCTGTTTGCATGCTGAATTTTGATTGGTCTTGTTTTTACTGCATATTTTTATGAATTTTTAGCTGGTTTTACGGTGCAAGGTGACTGTGTCAATTCTTCCATGCAGATGACAACACTCAACACTTCTTGTAAACACTTCCTGAAATGTAAATCAACCTTTTCATGGTTTTTCTCAGAGACAAAGATAAATATATGGAGTTACCCCCCTCCAAAAAAAAAAAAAAAAAAAAACAGAAGTGAGTTAATTCCCCACCTGGTAGTCTAGTATGCTGAAGCCAAGACCTCGCTCTCCTTTCTCTAGTTCTAGCACCTGCACATTTGGAGACCACAGAGCTAGTTCCCCTTCATCTTCTTCTTCATCATCCTTCTCCTCATCCATCTGCTCACTCTCAGGGCTGCTTGGCTCTAGGGGCTCTTCTTTATCGTTAACCTCTTGCTCCACTGCTGATGCCTGACAGGCATGAAAAGAAAAGCACAAATCACGACAAGCTAGTAGTGGTTCTTAATTGGCGGGTTGTGACCCCAAAATGGGTTGCAGGTCTGTTCTGTTGGGGTCACTTAATCAATCAATTGCTCAATCAAACTATAACTTTACAAGACAAGTTTATATCATGTTACAAATTTTTCATATTATAATTGAACTTTCTAAGATAAATATAATACATTTGAATCAGTCTAATGGATAATAATTATTTTAATTGTATTTTGTTGTACATTTTTTAAATTACATTTACTCCTACAGAGTTTAGCTCCAACTTACCTTGACACACCTGCCTGGAAGTTTCTAGTATGCCTAGTAAGACCTTAATTAGTTGGTTCAGGTGTGTTTAATTAGGGTTGGAGCTAAACTCTGCAGGACACCGGCCCTCCAGGACCGAGTTTGGAGAGCCCTGAATTAGAGGATATGGACAAACCTGAAACTCTTCCTTCATGCTCTCATGTAGACTTGTATCTTTGGCAAACATGGAGAGGTTATTCTCAATCTGTAAAATTATTACAAAATGAGCAGGCATACATTATTTTGCAGTTTAGTTTTGAAGTATTGGCCAATGCAGTGGCCAATTGGCCAATCTCTGTGTATGTATTCGTTACCTGCTCCTGTAGGCTGGCTGAGGGGCTGGATGAGTCCCACTCTTCAGATTCAGGGTGGTATTCGCTGCCTTCTTCAGCTAGGCGTCTGCAGCAAACCAAAGTAAAGGGAGGAGGAACCTCTCTGAGGAACGCAACAGCCTCTCGTCTGGACTTCCCATACAACTGCACGCCATTCACCTGCAAATACAACACATTTTATTGGGATAAACTTTACTCACAAGCGTACAGAAAATCTAACACTGCATGGTTTCCACAATCAAACACAGGGGTAAAAAAATAAGGTCACATATAAAGTGTCACTTTTTTTCTTTGACAAGGATGTTACAGATCATATTAACATCCTATGGGGAGCTTATTAGGTTGGTGACTATATTACACTCTGTCTCGGTGGCACTCACTGGCCATCTTTGATTGGTATTTCATGGAGCGGGCAAGCCTGAAGCTGCTATGGCGAGTGGGGGCGGCACTGTGCCATCTGCCCAAACCAGGGGGAAGCCATAGTCTCCACACATCCTTTCCATTATACACACACACACCATCGCTGTCCAACTGAACTTCTAAGCATCTAGCAAGGCCAAGAGGAGTACATTAAGGTGTTAAGGTTACACTGAAATATGGGATTTTCATTGATGATTATTCCGAGACTCCAACAAATGCATTGTCCCCAGGACGTAGCCTTGTAGTACACCACATCTCTCTATAAGCCACTTCCCCTGCAGCCCTGCAAATCTCCCCCGCTTTAACCATCCAGGCTCCTGCCAACAGCAACAGGCTGAAGGCACAGCGGCCCTTGGCCACCAGACCAGGTGGGAGGGGGAAGTTTGGAGGGAAGGGGGCAGGAAGCAAGGCCAGTGGGGAGGTTAGGGCAGGGGACAGTCATGCAGATGGCCTCGGTCAGAGTCAGGAGCCCTCCTGCCAGAACATCCACGGGCCAGCAGCAGCAGCAGCAGCAGCAGCAAGCCTTCCTGGAGGCTTGGTGCTGGCAGGATGCAAAGGTCAGTGTTATTAAAGCATCCGAGAAGAGGCTCACCAAAGCAAGCCAAGAGCAAAGCTGTAGGCTGGCCAAACCCTGGGAGCCAACGTAACCATAATGCCAAAGAGTGAGGGAGCAGGGAAGACACACATTGGCAGTGTAGATGCGGTTTAAAGCACTTTAAAATGACTTTACCTCCAGAAGTTCATCCTCTGGTCGAAGCAGCCCATGTTTTGCCACCGGACCCTCAGGAGCCACTGTGGAAATGTAGTGGTGTCCATCAAAAGAGTCTAGTTCCACGCCCAAGCGCATTATGTGTATTGGGAGAAGCTGTAGAAACATAAATTTTATGGTTTTACTCACTCATTGTGATCACTACTGAGCATGGCTGGGTGAGATTTAATATATATCTTGATATTTAAGTGTTTGCTCAAGAATGGTTTCTTGCAAGTGCTAAAACACTGTAAAAATCTAAATTCCACATGGTTTTTCACTAAATGAACACAAGGATGATTTATTTTTCTTTATGTGCACCAATATTACAATATATTTTACTAAAACATTTGAATATATTAAAAGCTTGGTGGGGACTTCAATAGACCTTTTTGTGTGATAATTCAAACTAATTGTTCAGGGTTTTGAATCGATTCATTGAAACAAATTGATTCACAGAAATTAATTAAAACGTATTAACTTGTGAGGAGCTAAAAACCATCTTGATATCTTAACGCTGTCATACTTGCAAGTCGTGAGACAAAGAAGAATTACACATGTCCAACTCGGTACCATGTCTACTATATATCATGAATATTTGATAGATTGCCCTGCACTACTATATAGATGAATGAACGTGAATGAATCATGAATCGTGCTGTTTCCACGTTACCTTGGAGTACTTCTGCAGCTCAATATCATCATCTATGACAGGGTCAAGCTGTACAACCTGTAAAAATAAAATAAAATGCAAATAAAATAATGTGAATAAAAAACAAAATGAATTGTAAATAAATAAAACCTAAAAAATAAAAAAACCTGAATGTGGTCAACACACTCCCTTTATGATAAATAAAACCAAACAACAGTGTGTCAGCACATGAACTCAAATCCAACAGGAGTCAACTGAGGCAATCTACAGCCAGAATTTAGCTGGTCGATCGAACATCTCTTATCACAGCATGCGTAAGTGCTGGCGGTTTTTGCTGATGTGCAGTTTGCTTCATGTTTAATTGAAAGCCGCACTTAGCATCTGTTAACATTACTTCCCCTACATTTTTGCTTACCATAACATCGTAATGTGGACCAAGAGCCTGTTCCCATTTAGCGCGAAGCTCCATCTCCGTCAGCGGGGCCGGCTCTTGCACTACAACACACACACAATAATGAGAGCAGTGTTTAAAGTCAATTACCGCCATTTGAGTGCCCACTGTCCGTGACAGAGTGAGTGGAAACGTATGACATTAATGTCAGGTGCCGCATACTAGCATGGGATTGATGTCAGGCTGACGGATGAATATAATCAGAGGGCCGAGAGTGCGCTGAGGGCAAGAGTTGAGAGAGGAGTCAGCAGTGATACTGCAGAAAAAGACAACGGGACGCCTGGGAACAGTATCGGCTGGAAGCCCAAAAGGCAATGGAGGCAAATAAACGGGTGGAACTGCATTTATGGGCACTTGTGACCCTTAACTATGATATGGGGCGGGAGTAGTAGGGGGTTTCAGAGAAATATAATATAAATAATAAGTTTTTCTGTAACCTAAGCTGTACATTTAACAGACATTTGCCAGCAATAAGGTACAATTTGGTCTCCCGTTCCTACAAAAAATAGAAACACATTAAATATATTGATAAAAATAAGCTAACATGAATAGTACCTAGTTACAAAACATCAAATTTCAGAATACCACCTTAAAATGTAATGTAGTGCTGTGATGACAAAGATGGATTTTCAGCATCATGATCCTTCAGAAATCATTCTAATATGTTGATTAGCTGCTCAAGAAACATTTATTATTATTATTACTATTTAATTATTATTTTTGTGCTTTATTTGCCGTTTATTTCTTATTTTTGTGGATTTTTTATTTTTATTGTCACTTTTGATAAATTCCATGCTTCTTCGCTGAATAAAGTGATTTTTTTCTCAAAATTAAAAAAATTAATAATTAAATAATAATAATTGTACCCACCCCAAACATTTGAACAGTAGTGTATATATTTTTTTAAACAAAAATGGCAAACCTCATATAAAATGAATGAAAAACAAGCTTCTTTTACCAACCACTTGTACAAAAAGCAGATAATTTTTTTTTTTTTAAATTACACTTTTTCAAGAGTTTCAGGCCCTGTTGTGGACTGGTATGCCAAATCACGTTACGGTAAACAGTAAAGTCAGTGAGTGAGTGAGAGCGAGGGATGCAGACCTGATTAAATTAGCATTTCTAACGCCTCACTCACAACACCATTCATCACAAATGTTTGGCTACATTAATACAGCAATGGATCGCTTCTACACGTGGGACGTCAAACCCCAGCCAACATCTGCAGCCCAGGTGCGGCACAATGGAGAACAGGGGAAATGGCTTGTTATGTTTATGTATCAGGAAAAACTCAGCGGACACTGAGAACAAATGTCCACCCCCTATCCAAACGTCACTCAACATTTAAAAGAGGGCGTCACATGGGAGAAGTTACTACAGACCCACAAAAGTTGAGTAAATGAGGTTTTACATAGTACTTCCTGTGGTTTTTAACTGCTGTGGGCATTTCTGGAGCAACTGCGGACTATAATTATACCAACGTGGACCGATTGTCACCACTTCTTTGTGATTGAGTGCTCTTGCTGTCAACTTTCGCAATGATTTTAATGGGTCGAAACCGCTGGTGTGACAGAACTTGGAAAAAGCGCAGAAAACCCGGCAGCAACTAGTCCGTGTTGTCCACATTTTTTTAACATTAGGGCTGAAACACATCTGTTTCCAGAGACTTTCAACTTTACATGACACAAAAGAAACCATATGATGGCACTTCCAGGGTAGTTATCTTTAAAATCGACGGGTGAAATTTAGCGAAGCCTCTAAGTTCACTCTTATCAAATGTCACGTCAATGTACCAAAACAGTCGCGCATTATCCATAAAGAAAATATTTAAACATCTACACACTCACATGGCAATATAATTTCTTAAGACCACAGGGAAAAAAGGCGGGAGGTGAAAGCATGATTAAAGCCGTGTGTGTTTTGACTCGAGGGCGGCTATCATTTTACACATGCTATGATTTCAGCTTTGGGAAATGAGTCCCTGACAACCAATCACTGTTATCCTGGGCATGTATTGGCTCAGTGCAACAGAATGCTTTATTTAGGAGTTTGGCAGGTACCGGGTCTTGTCCGGATTAATTAGGGCAGAATGTAACAAGAGCTCTGGGCTGCTTTGGCTTCAGCCAATGCCCGCTCTTCCGCTTCCAGGTCGCCTATATGCCGGATAACATGACTGAAACGATGCCTGCTAAGCTCGGTGTAGAAGCTGGCCTGAATCTGACCTCCATCCAGAGGGGAGCACCAAGGATCGGATTCATCAGTATTAAGCCAGAAGCATACTTCGGTTTTATGCGTATGATAGGGTATGCGTAAAGTGTGTAACATAAATTCAGCCATCAGTGTAGTATGTGTGTACTGTATGCGTGCAGTCAAATTTTTGCCTGTATGCTCAGCTTCTGTGAAATTTTTTGTGCCAATTAGTTTGTCCAAAAGGAAGAAACGCTGCCCTGGCTAGTCGTTTCACATAAAAACATAATTTTTTTAAAAATAGGACAAAAATCTGCCAACGGGCTATGAAAATTCAACTTAATTCAAAGGGAAAATAAGTTTTCATTCCCCATCAACAGATAATTGTTCTAGTTTTAAGCATAAACTCATTTAACTTTGTTTGATTTGCATGATGTGGCGATTAATTAATCGCAAATTAAATTTGGAATTTTGAAAATACCCCCAAAAGATAATTTAAAGCCATTGTTGTGTTAAATGAGAAAATTATCAAGTAGACATTACAAAAAAGTAGCTTTAGAAAGAAATATTTTATTTGATTCAACATAAAATGTATTACTCACAAACATTTAGGCTACAATGGCCTAACATAAACTATGGAACATAAAAGAAGATCATTTGAGAAACATCTCAGTATTTTTTTGTTCATACATTGAAAGTCATTGATAGCCAAATCAGCTTGGTTTCCAACATTCATCTCTTTCTTCTGGTTACCAACATTCTTGTTTATGTTCCATAAAAGAAAGTAAGTGATACAGGTTTGAAACGACATGAGGGTGAGTAAATGATGAAAGAATTTTTCTTTTTGGGTGAACTATCACTTTATTTTCATTTTTTATGTTTTAATGAAATGATACTCTAAATAAGAAACTAAAACTGCAAGTAGATGGTGGTAAATTATGAGTAAGTCATTGAGTCATTCATTCATTCAAACTACTGATTAACTCAGGTATGAATTAAATGACCCTCTTTATGAATGTGCCTTTGAATCATTAGTTCACCCGATTTGTTCAAAACTTGGACTCATTCAGAAACGAAACAACGCTGCATTTCTTGGAGATAATATTTTTGCTGGCAAAAACTGACAATATTGTAGCCTATCTATACACAATATTAACTACTTATTTACCAAACTGTTGTATAAAATCACATTTGCACTTGTGCTATTCAGGACAAAAACAACACTTGTGAGATATTGCTTATCATATGACATAAAACTCATACAGGGGCATTTTTGCCCCAATCTCTTAAATTTTAAGAGCGTATAACTGCATTTTATATAGGCTACATCACGTAGTGAGTTGTTGCCCTGCGTTATGTTTGTTAACAGTCAACCGTATGAAATGTAAGATGATGTACAGGTCTGGGGCGGGGCGGGTGCATTAATTGCGTTAAAATATTTTAACTGTGTTATTTTCCCATAACTAAGTGACAGTTAGTGGTAGTTAGTGGAAGCTCGAGATTACGGTATATAAAGTTTTAAAGGGGTCATATGACGCTGCTAAAAAGAACAGTATTTTATGTATGTGGTGTAATGAAACATTTTTATGCGGTTTAAGGTTCAAAAAACACATTATTTTCCACATACTGTACATTATTGTTTCTCCTCTATGCCCCGCCTTCTGAAACGCGCGGCGGCCTACAGTGAGCAGAGGCCGGCGGCTAGAGTGAGGAACGGCCGGAGGGTTAGAGTGGGCGGCGGCGGCCTACAGTGAGCAGAGGCCGGGGGCTAGCGTGAGGAACGGCCGGAGGGTTAGAGTGAGCAGAGGCGCGGGCTTGAGAACGGCACGGTCAGCGATTTCGACGAAGGAGCATCCGGAAGGACGTGACGACTCCGGGCTGGACTTCGCTTCGTCCACGGTTAAAAGCTGATCCGGCGATCGACAGCGCAAAGTTGTAGTATTTCCTCATCGACCAGCACGGATCAGCTCCAGGCATGACAAAGCAGATATCGTCCTCTTTTGGAAGACCAAACAAAGTAGTTTCGCTTTCACAACGAAGCACACAGCGTCTCTACGACATGGCAGCAGAAACAACAAAACTACAGCGAGAATAAAAGTTACGCCTTCTTTCTTTGCGTAAACATTTGGGTGGCGTTATGCAAATCTTCCCACAGAGCGACATGGGTATGTTGGGGCGTATTAGAACGAGCCGTTTTAGGTAGGTGTGGCTGACTCTTAACTTTTATAAAGAATATCTCTTTGGATTTGAGACTTTAGTCTTTGCAACTTTACAGATCTTCTTTATGCACCAAGAGCTTGTAACACTCCAAAGAGAAAGGAAAAATTGAAAACGCATCATATGACCCCTTTAAGTATGGATATTTTCTTTACACAAACGCATTGATTCACTTCAAAAGCCCTTTGTTAATCCCCCGGAGCCCTGTGGAGCACTTTTTATGATGGATGCACTTTTTTGGCCTTCAAAATCTCGACCACCACTCATTGCCATTATAAAGCTTGGAAGAGCCAGAACATTTTTTAAAATATAAATCAGACTGTATTCATCTGAAAGAAGAAAGTCATATACACTTAGGGTGGCTTTAGGATCAGTAAATCATGGGGTAATTTTCCCTTTAACGTCCTTAGTGTGAAAAATATACTAGTAATGGCGTAAACTCGAAGTTTCATTTCCTGCATGAGCACCCGGGCTCAAAATATCAGTAAAAAGCCAATCAAAACAAAGAGAAGGACATTTTTATAGGAGCAGAACAACTGAGGCTGGTCTGTGTGAAGTCTGTGATATCAGCCACATTGTTGAGCACCTGTATGTGAGCGAACAGACGTGTTTGTGTGTTGTATGAACTCACTTTTTCCCTGCAGCTGTTGTTTGATCCCACTCAGAGCAGGGTCCATAGACTCCACCACAGAGCCCCTCTGAACATCCGCCCGCGCCTTGATCTCAGATGATCTCTTCAGAGACACACGCGACGACTCTCTCTGGACTATATCAACACACCAGTATATAAATATACACACTTAATTCTGAATCAACATATATTTGTAACCAGACAAAAACAATCATTTATAAAGATGTAAATATATATATATATATATCCAAGTCAGTCCAAGACTATTGAGGATCATAAAACAGTGATTTGACACAGCGAAACCTAATACCATATCAGGTAGGCCTCAAACTTGTATTTTTACAGCAATAAAGGCTACAACAAAATAGACTTGAAACTCAAACATGTCAACAGCATGTCTGTCTTGACCACCACAGGCAGATTTTTCCTATATCCTGTGCATGAAACGAGCAGCCATATAACCATTATACAGACATTTGCTGAAAGCCTGTGGTTTTCCTATAAACACGTGTAATATATATATATATATGTATATACACACATTTCCTTTAACTTAAAAAAGGAAACAAAATGCGATAACTACATTAACTACATCAAAGTATCTCATATCGATTAAATAAAATTGAATATAAATTTTTATTTGTACATTTACATCGATTGTCAACCCTAAAGTCAACATTGTATTTTGTGATTTACAGATCTTAATATTTATTTCTTTATTTTACTTTATATATACATTATATCTTTTTTTGAAAATGAACAAAAGTAAAGTCTTTATATTTCCCAACAGGGCAGTGCCAAAAACAACTTACATCCATAAAATGTAGGGAAAGTTTTATTATTTTTGAATCTATGCAGATCTGCATTGCTTTCTGTGTTTGAATTTCTTGTTTTGATGCAGTTTAACAGTCCAATCATTTCACGTTATTTATTTTCTTAAAAATTTACAGAATACGATCAAATGAAAATATATATTTATTATTATATTTGATAAAATGTTAACATTTTTATTTTAAAATGTTTTTAATTGAATGACAGCTCTGTAGGTACAGATCTGATCCTAATACAACACATGTCACTTTACCTTTATCTAGTGATTTTTCTACGACTGTCCTCTTGGGCGAGTCGATCTTCCTAATGAGGGTAAGGTGTACGATATCACCTGTCCGCTTCATTACATCCAGGACTTCCTGGTTGGTGAATCCCTGGAGGTTCACGCCATCCAACTGTTCACACAGACACAAAGACAATCAAGAAGTCACTTCAGGCCTGGCTAACCGGCTCTCCAAGTCGCCTCAGTGGGACTGATTAGCCTATAGCGTGAGGCTGGGGAGAGCGTGACAGCTGACCGTGTCCACACTCAAACCTGTTCTTATTAAACTGTGAATCAACGTGAGATGAAAGAGACGTCTTGCTTAGTTGGCGTTCTGTTCTGTCAGAGTGCTCGTATGGACACGGGGCTAATTAAGGTAGAGCTCATTAAAAAGTGATTAAGAACCCACTGCTATTATCCTGTCGTGGACATGGATTTTCCCGCTCTGCTCAGCGGCGCTGCCTGGAACCACGTTCTTCACGAAGACCCCCACCGCATCTGACATGCAACAGAGACGAGAGATGCGAGGAAATAATAATTAACCGCATACTGATTAGTCGCTGGATTTCTGGGAAAACAAGGCAAAATATGTTTCTTACCCTTAGCGGTCAAAGCGTTGTGTCCGATTATGGAGATCCCGAGGCTCTGGCCTTCCTTCTTTTTTAACGCAACTTCGTGGATTTCGTAGCCCTCCAAATTTGGCTGCAACATTACAGATCAAATACTGCCATTTGTTTTATTGTTTCCAAACACTGCTTTTTTGTTACAGGTTTAATCTACAAAAACATGTTTGGGCCCTGTTATTAACTCAAAATCAATAGAATTTTTTTTTATATCAATAGAAAAATCAATAGAAATTACTATGAGGCATCCGGACACACTTTAGGCATACATTATGAATAGTGACTCTTATTAGATTCCCATTTCTGTAGTACAGTTATACAATTACTGTAAAATCATGTTTTAAATAATTATAAATAGATTAATATTATATTTTTTGCATTAGAGTTAAGAGAATTTGGGGATGAAAATTAAAATAATCCAAATAATGATACAAGAAATTATAAAGCAAAATAAAATAAAGCAAATATCTCCTCCAATTTCTCATTGCAGAAATACATCTGGATATTTTATTTAAATATTATTTCAGTGATTATTTTATTAGAAAATTATTTCAATTATTATTTTATTTGAATATTACATATTTTAAATACATCAAAAATAAATGGTCCTAACATTATCATAAAAATGTAACTTGATTTTTTTTATTTTAAATTTCTAATGTAAAATTTACTAAAATGTAAAAATATAATTTTATATTACTTTATGTATTTATATAAAGGTGGTGTATTCTGTACCGTTTTGCTGCCCCTGCGAGATGGCACAGGAGGTGGAGGTGGCAGAGAAGTGACAGGAGCCGTGGCGGGGGCAGGTGGAGGTGGAGGAGGAGGCTGGGTCACCACCAGAGGGTCTCGTGCGATCAGCATCCTCACATGGGTCCCGCAGGCCTGCAGCACCTGCACCACCTGGTCACTGGCCAGACCTTGAGTGGATGTGTCACCGATCCACAGGATGTGGTCACCTGTTCTCAGCCTCCCGTCCTGGAGGTGAATGAAAGAAAAGAGGAGGAAGTTGACATCATTGAACATGAGGTGAATCTATCTATCCATATATCTATATTAGATCCATCCATCCCGAAGAAAAAAAGAAAAATGCCCCCCCCCCCCCTTTTCAAATTATTGTAATGAAAAAAAAAGACAATATGGCAAAGCATCCAAATATTTTTTTCTGTAATTCCCATTATTCCCAATGATTTTTGAAAAGCTAAACCAAATTATTAAAAAAAACAATAATACGAGGAAAACATTTTATATATTGTTGAAAATAATGTCAAATTAAATGTTTACATTTAAATCAAATGCAATCTTTTTTTTTTGTTAAATTATACATGTATCTAAATATTGTGTATATATATATATATATACACACACTTTGTATTTACATTAGATTTATTTAAATGTATATTTAATTCTTTATATTGTTAAAAATAATACTTATTTCTGAATACTACCATCCATGTATGACACATGTAGTACATTATTACTCAAAAGGAGTAAATATTGCTAAAAATTACAATTATTCAAATAAATGCAGAATATTATATATACACTGTATATAGATATTACAATTGTATTATTTTAATTAATGTGATGCATGTATGTTAATATAAAACGTACCAATATAGTTTATTTTATATTGCTAAAAATAATACAATTCAATACAATTCTAAAAATAAATGAATACATATATAATTCATTTATTTTTATATTATTTTATTTTTTTTGTTATTTTTTTTTAGCATATGACCATGTATGTTAATATGACAGAAATTGTGTTAATATGACATTTTGTTAATATGACATAAAAAAAAGCACAGATACAAACACATTTTACCTGTTAACAATTGCAGGCCTTATTATAAATAATTTTTACCGGCCTCTAAAGTATAATTTACCTCTGAACGCAGGCCTGAGCCAAATCTCACATTTACAACCTAATTTGTTCTCATCATCCACAGGTGCAAGAGCCAAAAGTCTAACATCCACAATAACCATGTCACTCTTACGTGGCCTTTCCTCACAGCCCTTTCCGGTCGGCTTGAGCTGTATTCTTCTTTCTAGGACTCTGGCAGACGGGCCAAACGAATGGCGAGAGGAAAGGGAGGACTAAAGAGTGATTACACAAAGCGCAGAGAGGAGAACAGCCGTCTTTGTGAAGTGCGAGACATGAAAGCCGTTTGATACATCAACTTGCACAGGGAAAATTTCGGCAGCTTGTTCCTGCCACTGTGTCGGGGACAGCGGGGGTGCATTGAAGCCCGCCGCAGCCATTAAAAGGTTGAAATAGGAAACGCCAGGGATAACAAAGCCCTGATTTTGACAGCTTTTTTGGAGCATAAGATCCACTGATGTGTGAAATGCAAGCAATGTGCCTTTTGAACAAGAAGGGGTTTGTTGCCTGAGCTCTGGACACTGGGAAGGCTGTTATCTGCCGGGTGTCTACCTCTGCAATTTTCTCACTATCAAATGAAACCCCTCCTTTGCTGTTCGGCCCGCTGCTCTTTCGAAACAAAGATTTACATTAGCGCTTGTCCTGCTGTGAGGACAGAAAGGACCATTTTAGAGATAAGAAGTCTCTTTCTGAGTCCCCAAAGAAAAACTCAAGTCCTTTTTTGAGATTTACTTAACTTGGGTCGAAATTCACCTCTGTCATGATTCATCAGTGTACAGATCAGGGGAAAAAAAACTTGTCATTCTTCAAAATCAGTCAATATTATGCAATGTGTATGATGTTGCATAATGGATACATATGGATGTGGTTAGGATTGAGTTTTGTGCTTTTTTGCAACTAAACATCTAAATCTAAAACATCTCATTTGAGCTGAGGAAGCAGAAAAAAACAAAAAACACAAAAACTAAAAATAAATTAATAAACAAAACAAAGAATTAAAACCAACAAACAAACAAAATGCAAAAAAAACTAAAACTAAAAAGCAAACAAAAACAAAATAAAACCCCAAAATAAAAAATAAATAAAAAAAACATAAGAAACAAAAGACAAAACAAAAATAAAATGCAAAACAAAACACAAAACCAAAAACTAAAAATTAATTTATAAAACAAAAAGAAACAAGACAAAAACAAACTTAAAAACACTAAAAATAAAACAAAATAAAAAAGGCAACACAAAAAAATTAAATTCAAAACAAAAACATACAAAACCATTTAAATAATTATACTAGGGCTGCACGATAAATCGCATGCGATATTTACGTGCGGGCTTTCACATGGAGCAGCATTTACTACACAGCTTGTCAGTGAACAACGGCTCTGTGCAGTAAATGCTGCTCCATGTAAAAGCCCACACGTGATGGAGATTTACCGCTGATTACAGAACCGGCTATACTGACAAGATGCGCGTAAAATATCGCATGCGATTTATCGTGCAGCCCTAAATTATACTTTTGCAAAAAGTATCATTTAATTATATCATTTCATTTTTGAGTTTGCTCTTCCTTTGATCATGCCTGGCAATCCTACAGTAAATATGTTAAGAGGATTCAAACACAGCAAACACTGATGACCCAAACCCAACATATACAGCTATATTTCTTTCCACAAACAGCTGTATTTCCTTCAGGCTGCAGCTTACATAAACATCTATACATTAGTGATGGTAAATGAGAAAGCCATTGTGGGAGGCAGAAAACATCTCCCTTGGGAAAAGGCTTGGGTGTTATTCCTCCAGGAGTGGGAATTCCAAAGTGCAACACAAGTCTAGCCTGCATGAAACTTTCCAATAGAGTATAATTAGGATTCCAGATATTTTCAAGGGCTTCAGAGGTCTGGGTCTACAGAGAGATAGAAGGGCAGGGGAAGTGAAGAAAAATAAACCTTAGCTACATTTGCTCCCGCTCTCCTCCATTTAAGGAATGGAGCAGTGATCCCTTGGGGTCCTAACAATCTTAAATATATAAATATTTTCTCAGCTTTAAACGATAAGAGAATAGATTGAAATGGTGGAGATCTGTTTGAATATGGGGTTAGTGAGAGGACATAACACATGCTTGCAGAGTGACGTGTTCATTGCTAAGCTTTTAAGCTGACATATGATGATTGACATTAATGATTCCCAAGTCTCAGATAGAAAAGGTATTTAAACGTAATAATGAAAAAATAACGCATTTGGAGTTTTACTTAAAAAAAGGCTTGAATTTTACATGATCTACAAGGGTGAACCTCAGGAAAACACGTCCAGGTAAAAAAATTTAATCATTAAATCACAATCATTCACATTTCTAAATATATATCAATATAAAAAAAAAGTTACAAATATTTATTTTTAACTTTTTAAATATAAAAACTAATAATAATAAAAAAAAAAAAAAGATTACAGTAAAAAAGGAGTAAAAATTATATTTTGAAAATGAGCATAAATGAAACGTGGGACTTCTACAAATAAGTATAAAATAGCGCTGACAAATTGTAAATTAACAAAAGTGTATGCAAATTAATCACACTAATTCACAATTCTAAATAAATTTAAAAAAAATTTTTTGAACAAAAACAAACATACTAAAATATAACATTAAAAAACAACTAAATTAGCATTTTTAATTAGCATAAATTAAATGTGCAACAAGCGTGTATAAATTATGGCTGACAATTAAAAATGTTAAATTAATAATAAAACTAGATAATTAATCAAATTAATTTCAAATATTTGCAATATTAAATATATTAACAAATATATAATAGAATTCATTTTAAAAATGTAAATATTTAAATTATTACAGTAAAAACAAACTACTAATAAATTAGGGCTGACAATCAATTTAAAATCTTAAATGATTTACAAAGCTCGAGAATTACTCGAGTTAAACTGACAAACCTAGTATAAATACTACTAAAATTATTATTATTATTATTAGGTGTAAAAATAGGTTTTGTTTCCTTTAAGAATATTTTTCCCCCATTGATTTTGAGGGTGAAATATGATGTGTTGATGTTCTTGACAGGTAAATGCCGATTCATTCAAAAGGAATTTTTTTAATTTTTTTAACAGTAACATAATTGCCAATATCACGTGTTAGCAAAGCCTTCTGTACCCTTCATTGCCTTCTGCGTTTGCGGTGTTGAGTCATGTTTGCGATAAAATCTATTTTATTTTATAGAGCGCAACAAACAGACACTTAATCTGACTTATAAACAGCACAACTTTGTTGACATCTGGTGACAGAGAGTTTGGCTAGGCAACAAGCAATCAAACGAAAACCAGACTTTTGCTCCATTAAACACAACTCTGAAATGGAACAGCACATGAATTAAACCAAAGTCTGGCTCCGATATGCAGGACATGGTCCCGAATTAAGGATATTAAACATTTCAAATCGAAAAGCATCAACAGAGCAGAAATACACAACCTAGCTTGCAATGTAAAGACCAAATGAAAACTACTGTCATTTTTCCAGCTGTGTGCAGTCGCCGTTAATTTGAGAGTGGTTAAATTTGGGTACTTAATTAAAGTAGACGAGAGGGAAGCGTTATGTTTATTGTTAAAGGCTTAGGTTAATGCAGTTCATCTACTGGCTGTTGGTCTTTCCAGCCTCATTTTCTTCCTCTTCCGAGACTATTTCTTTCGGTGGTATGAAGGTCTTTTGGATGAACCTGAGAAAGTCTGCGCATTTCGTTCTCCTTCTGTCTTTGGTTTAGACACGGTTATAACAGGATGTTTTAAGGGCTTTATTTTCCTGAGGATCACATTATAATAACGGGAACATGACAAATAAATATGCTCCTAGTTTAGGCTGAATTACCGTTTATAGATCAGGCAGGTTAAATCAAGATCCTTAAGCAATTTGTAATAATTTCTGTCACTGGATTTGATAATCTGTATATGTTAGTGTAACTGGTTGAAATTAAAACATCACCAATATAAATTAAGCTCAGTTTGTTAGGCCTTAGGAAATATTGGCCTTTTTAAATAGGTAAGATTAAACCACAAATGACATCTGCACTTCATTAATGCTTTTAAAAATGTTCATGAAATCTTACCAAAAGAAACTAAATTAGTTACTGCTAATACTAACAGTACGTTACTACATAAAAGTACTCATGCTACTTATAGAAGCACGTTTCCGTCACTGAATAAAAAATAAAAATGCCAACTGCTACTTTATCCAACAATTATAATGCAATTCACTCAGAGCTGCGAGAAAAAAAACTAGAACTGCAAGATATAAACACAGAATTCTGACTTTCTTTTTTGCAATTCTGAGCTTGCATTTCAGAATTGTTTTTTGTTTCCGGAATAAAGAATAAAAAAAACATAAATGTGACTTTTTAATCTCACACTGCACACTTTTTTCAGAAATGCAAGATAAAAACTTTGAATTGCGAGAAATTCAGAATTTTGACTCTGTGGCGGGAACAGACTTATATAGCTATTAACTTAAAGGGCCAGTTCACCTAATATTGTTATTTACCGTATGCTTCCTCTCGTCGTTTCAAACCAAAATGTGGTTATTTTTTCTGAGGAATAGAAAATGCTTTTTCCCCCCTATCAATGATAGTTTGAAGTTATCACAGGCTGCAATTTGGAGGTCTAATCAAACATGGTGAATGTTTGACGCAATGATGTTTAGGCATGAGAGAATTGATGGGCAGTCGTGGCCTAATTGTAAGAGAGTCTGAAAGTTGTAAGTTTTGGTCTCGGTACCAGCAGGGATTTGGCTACACGTCTAAAGAGTGAGTGAGTGTTTGATGTTACTGACATCCAACAAGTGCCATAAAGTCATACCGTCTGAATGGGTGCAGATGTAGAGAGTCGGGGTTTGGCCACAGTGTCTCTGGCCACCACCAGCTCCACTTGGTCTTTCTGTTGCTGGAGAAGAGCAATGGCCTGCTGCTGCGTCACGCTCTGATCCAGAGGAATCCCATTAATCGCCAGAATCTGATCATTCTCCTGCAATCTTCCATCCCTGGAGATAAGAAATATCATTATTACTACCCACGTGATTCATTTATTTTTAAATAAATAAATACCATGCTTCGTAAACTAATTCTTAAATAGGTACAATTTATATCTGTCTGCAAATCTAATTGAAAACATTTATTTTAAACATTCAAATTTATTCCAGTATGTCCACAAAGAAAATTACCTTAAACAACATGAGGATATTTGTCGAACGTGACGTGTACAGCAAAAGGGACAGACTTCTGAATAAATCACAGTGGTCTCACTCACCTGTCTGCGACGCTCCCTTGTTGCACCTGTCTGACGAACACACCATGACTGCCCACCCCCTCTGGTCTCAGGCCGACCACACTGAAACCCAGACCTCCAGATAACGGCTTCTGCAGGCTGATGAGCTCCATCTTCCTTCCCTGCGGTAAACAATCCAGAGAGAAAGCACCATCGATACTAACGGTATAAACAACGCAAGCTGAACCAAAACATAGTAGAAATGATGTTCAACATTTGGCACATTAAATAAAACAATGTTTATCTAGCGGAAAATGACATAAAATACATCCCACCATTGCGGCCGCATTTATCCATCTCTGAAGCTGCTCAGAAGATGTGTTAGTTGAAGCTGTACCGTTGGACACCACGGATCCCAGGCTGCTGGACGGACGACTCGCACTAACGATCAGCTGGCCCTTCCTGGAGAAACTGAACTCTGTGCATGTGTCTTGAGGCAAGCTGTTTAACTACAAAGTGGAGAGGACAAAGTTCATTCTAAAGCTATTCAAAAAATTATTTAAAGAAAATAATAATAATAATAATAATAGTCATTATTATTACTGCAACTAGAAGTTTGAATGATTAATAATAATAATAATAATAATAATAAGTGAATGGATGTGTTAGACCAAATACTATTCATTATTTAGACAAACATAAATCGTGCCCATTTACAAATTAGTTTGAAATATAATAATAATACAAATATAACAAAAACAACAACAACAACAATAATGGCTATTTATAAATTTGTTTGAAATCTATTTTAAGAAGAATAATTATTATTATTACCATCATAATCATCAATATTATTCATAATAATAATAATAATTTAATGCATGAGTTGGATACTTAAATGTTTCAAATGTGTTATTTAGACAAATATAAATTGTTTATAAATGTTATTTATAACAAATTTGTTATAAATAATCATTATTATAATAATATTATAATATAATTAATAATAAATATTATTATTATACCAACAACAACAAAAACAACAATAATAATAATGCCTAGTTACGAATTTGTTTGAAATTCATCTTAATAATAATAATAATTATTATTATTGTTGAGTTGGACTAAATACTTAAATGTTTCTAATTAGTTATATATAGACAAATATAACTTGTGCCTATTCACGAATTTGTTTCACAACAAGCTCTTTAACTATGTAGTGGAGAGACCCTGTCAGTTCTAAATAAATAAATTAATACATACATAGACAGATACATAAATAAAATCTTTGATGCAAGCATTATCGTTCAAATAGCTTGTCCAAATAATTGCTCTACCAAATATTGTATAAACCATATTTCTGAGATACATGTCTGTTTAAGTTATGTTTATGCATACAAATATAAATTGTGCCCATTTATGAATTTGTAAACCTAAAAACCTATCAAACCTGGCTGTTAAGTATACAAATAAATAAAGTTGATTTCAACCATTATCTCATACAGCTGGTCCAAATAATTTGGGATAAATCATGTACTGTTCATCTAAAAGATAAAACAGCCCACAGAGGAACAACCATGTCCTACAGGCAGAGAGGTAAGGAAGGGAAAAAAAAATAAAAGGGAAGAAAAAAAAATCAATACATTCCTCTGCAGTACTCGCTAGTCCCCAACAGGTAATGTATTAATGACCTTTAGACTCTTACTGTGGGAACTTATCAGTCTTGTGCTTATTTAGTCCGGGCTGACAGAGCAGGTTCCAGCCTATTTCATCGATACATCTCCGACAAGGCAGTTACTCAAACTGAGACAGTAGAAATTAAGGCTTGATAGAAACTCCGGCTGTTGCCCGCCTCAACATACTTGATAGGTTTTTCACCTGACGCATTCATAGGCACACGTCTGACCTTCCCAGCACTTAGAATATGAAGGCAAGCTTCCGTTATTGCCATTATCTTAAATTGGTGTGCGGATTGTTTATTGTAAAGAGGTTTCTTGTGTCAATAAAAACTCTGACTGAATACAAATAGGGACGAGGGACTCTAGCAGCATCTCGAGTATGTGGATAAGAAATACATGCTCACTGCATACTGTGATGGGATGCAAAACAAACAAGTTAATTTTTTTAAGTAATTTGAGTCTAAAGAAATGACGTGATTTTTATCCTGATTTGGCATTATGAATACACATTAAAGGGGTCATATGATGCGATTTCAATTTTTCCTTACTCTTTGGAGTGTTACAAGCTCTTGGTGCATAAAGAAGATCTGTAAAGTTGCAAAGACTAAAGTCTCAAATCCAAAGAGATATTCTTTATAAAAGTTAAGAGTCAGCCACACCTACCTAAAACGGCTCGTTCTAACACGCCCCCACATGTCTACGTCGCTATGTGGGAAGATTTGCATAACGCTGCCCAAATGTTCACACAAAGAAAGAAGGCGTAACTTTTATTCTCGCTGTAGTTTTGTTGTTTCCGTCGCCATGTCGTAAAGACGCTGTGTGCTTCGTTGTGAAAGCGAAACTACTTTGTTTGGTCTTCCAAAAGAGGACGATATCTGCTTCGTCATGCCTAGAGCTGACCCGTGCTGGTTGCTGAGGAAATACTACAACTTTGCGCTGTCGATCGTCGGATCGGCTTTCACCGTGGACGAAGCAGAGTCCAGCCCAGAGTCATCACATGTCCTTCCGGACGCTCCTTCGTCAAAATCGCCGGC